CTGAATGAACAACTGTGACATAGCAGCATGGTTGAGAAGGTGTAGTCTTGCCCTTGGCTGGTTTACCCTACAGCCCAGCTCTCCCCACTTGACCAATGAGGAAACAGGCTGAGAGGCAATAAGGAAACTGAGGTACAGAGGAATTACCACTCAGAGCCTTCAATGGCAGAGGCAGAACCCGACCTCAAGATGCAGAAAGATGCTTTCCTGACAGACCTTACTGGCTATGAATCAAAATGGTGGCTATAGCAAAATCATTAGATGGAGGCGTCAGGGCATTGAGCTAAATATAAAGTTAGGGATCCCATGTAGGAGGCCCCCGTATAGACCTGGCCCTGAACAGGAAAAAGCAATCAGTCTGTGCTCTCTGCAGTCCTTCTCTCCTGCCCAGCATCCTGTCCTATGCTATAACATGATCCTCACAGGGCTGCCAGGGCCCGGTGGGAGAAGTACCTCATGCCCACCATGTCCTCATAGGAAGGTAGGTACACACACACACACACACACACACACACACACACATGCTGTGGCCCAAGGTTGATAATTCTCAGGAACCTTCTCAGTCTTATGCCTCTCTGTTGCTTTGAGTGAATGGGGGAGGAGAGGGACAGTGGCAGTCCTGGGACAGGGCAGAATCTCTGCTGCCACCAAGTTCTTCCATTAGGACTCCATTCCCTCCAGTCTTGAAGGTCTTCCTGGTACCCTCTGTGACTAACCTACAGCTCTGGAGAGTAGAGGGCAGAGCTTCGTGGCCTCAACCTTTGTCCACATAGGGTGACAGAGGCTGGAAGGGTCTGGGAAATTGTTTCACCACTGGATTCCAGCCAGATAGTCCTCCAGGCCAGCCACATCCCTCCTTGTCTAGACGTGGACTGAGAATGGGAAGCCGGAGTCCCCAGGGGCCGGCCTGTGCCTGGGGTGACTGTGCTTCCCGTGGAGGCCCACCCAGCCTGGCAAAGACTTCCCACGTGCAGCTGCCAGCCCAGCAGAGGTGAGTCACTGGCCCTCAGAACAGTCTACACAAGTGCTGGATAAGCCACAGACCTCCAGGCCCTGCCCAAGCTCTGCTGCCCAGCCCCCAGTCTCCGATGGCATATCCCTGTCACTAGGGACCCAGCCCTGCCCCTCGCCCTTGGAAGCACCAGGTACTAGTGCGAGAGACTCACAGCAGAGATGAGACCCTCGGTACAACAGTGAGGGTCCTTACCTAGGGTGGGATCTGCCCCTCAAGGCACACCCACTTCAGTGGGCCCATTCCTCCAGGAGACCTATTGCACAGGCTGACCAACAGCCCGTCCTCCATGAAAAGAGACTTCCTTAGCTCTGGCTCCATCTCAGCTCTGGAGCCAGGGAGTGGGGTCAAAGGTCAGAAAGAACAGAAAGGATGCTAAGGTCCGCAGGTGGAATGAGACTAGGAGCCTACGACCCACGTCTCCCTCCCCACCGTTAGCGCCAGGCTCCACCCCGCTGGCTGTGGGCTAGCTTACCGTGGCGTCCTCCGCGCCGTGGTGGCCGATGAGGCGGCTGCCCCCTGGGTGCCGCTGTGCCCAGCGGCTGATGTCGTAGACGCGGCGCTCGATGACCAGCCACTTGTCGCCTGGTAGGTCGTGCTGGCGGATCTGCTCCCAGCGGAAGATGGGCAGGGGCGCCCCCAGCGGTGCGGGCCCCTCCCGCGGCCCGGGTCCCCCGCCGGGCTCCCCGACGCCACCCATGGCCGCTGTGCACAAGTCCTCCGGACCCCGGAATGTGACCGAGGCCTGACAGAGACACCGTGGAAGGCGAGGTCGCTATCGGGGGTCTTCCTCCGCCGCTGCCCGCCCTGCCGGCCCCGCCCTGCCGCTGCGGCCGCCGTATGAGCGTGCGCCTGCCCGGCTCTCCGCGCAGGGAACTTTTCCCTCCCTTATAACCGCGCTGACAGCGCTCGCCTCGCCCGCCCCTCGTCCCGGCCCCCGCGCTGGCCAGTCCCGCGCCCGCTCCAATCCCGGCGCGGCTCCTCCTCCTCCATTGGTTGCCCGTGGAGGGCGGTGTCGCGAAGGGGCTGGCCCCACCCGTGAGGGCCTAGGGGGCCACCACGCCCGGCCCAGCCCCCGGGATACTGTCCCGCCCCCAGTTCCTTGGCCGAGAAGGGGGGGGGAGGATTGGGGACCCGACGCGCACGAGAGAGCAGCAGGCCGCTGCGCCCCTGAGCGGCCCAAGAGGAGCCCCAAGGGGCTGGGAAGTGTGGTTGGGGATGTCAAGGGGCTTTAGCCACGCATCCTGGGTGGCTATAGGTGAGGACACTATCTCGAGGATGGCTGTCAACAGCCTCACCCCCCAACAAATCCTCAACATCCACATGAGAAAGCCATTTAGAGCCGTCTGCTGGGGCGATAACCGGCTCTCCTTTGGTGCATACAGGGTTGGGGATGCCCAGGGTGGTCAGAGGAGACAGGGAACGGACCGCACTGGTGCCTGCAGCGCTGCACCAGGAAAGAACGGACCAGGCTGCAATGGGCGGCTGGTTTGTCACCACCACCCACCCCACCCCTCCGTGGCACTTTGGACTTATTAAATTGAAAGCTTCTTGAGAGGGTAGCTACATTCCCAAATTGTACCATGTTACTTTGGGGTCAACACCAATTCCTTAAAGTTAAGCATTCACACCAAAAGGAGCCACAATTGACAAACTTGAAGTTCTATCAGGACTTCCCAGAGGGCTAGTTAAAACAGAATCCCTCACTCCACCCTATCGTGAAGTGACTCAGGGCAGAAAGGTGAGGCAGGCCTGCTGGTTGGAGAAAATCTTTTCAGGACCTTAAAATATAGTTCTCCAATAGGCTAACATTTCCTCTTGGCCTACCTAAGGATTGTAGGAGACCTGGCCTTTTAGGATACCAAAATCAACCTTTATTCCTTGCCTACATAAAATATTTGCATGTAACCTTCACACATCCCGCCATGCGCTTTAAATCATCTCTGAATTCCTTATAATGTCTAATGTGATGTAAATGCTCTATAAATAATTGTTCACTGCATTGTTTAGGGAACAATGGCAAGAATAAAAAGGCTGAAAGCATTCAGCCCAGATGCAGCCATTACAAGCCTAAATGCAAGGACAGGAAAGGAAGCAGAGGCCAGCAATACTCTCAAGAATGTTGGGGAGATAGCCAGGACCTGTGAAACAAGCAGAGGTGACAGCAGGGCCAGCCTCACACACACTGCTTCCTTCACATGAAGACGGACGAGTGTGTCACATTCCAGTTTTGCATTTTGGAAATTTCTGGATTTTCTGAACATGTCCAATCTACTTCTGATGTGTCTTAGGCTGCAGAACTCACGAGACGGAAGACCCAAGCGTGATCTGTGTCACAGGCAGACCAAAGCTTGAAGAAGGGGGCTTCTTGGTTCTCCCAAGTTCAAGGGACTCTTGCTTTGCTTAGCCAGGACAACCCACGATGTTGCCACAGACAGAAGTTGTTCAATCCCTTTCTCCTGGGCCCTTCAGAATCCTGGAACCCCATTCCTGCACACCTGGAGGGTACAGAAGCCCAGGCCCGAGAGGACAGCAGGTACTGCTGCCCCCACATGGTCACACTGAGCACTGGGATGAAGAGAGCCTGCTCTTCCCAAGGAATACACTTCTTGTATCCAAACCTGGTGCTCACAGGGTATAGTCCTCGCTACTTTCTCAGCACCTCTCAGCATTATGATGTGACTGGCTCAAGAGCCATCATGGGCTCCTTCCTTGGGGGTCTGGCCTGGCCTCAGGCATGGGAAGCAGTTACGGATTGGATACGACCTAGTCATACTAGGGGAGTCAGCAAAGTGAAGGCTGGACAGACTGGTTAGACAAACCAAGAGAAGGCCTGAACCATGCTATCCTCTCTGGTCACTCCAGTCTAGCATGGAATGTATAGGTGGAATGGGTCCTCTTTCCACCTCTATCTAGCCGGGTGTTCCCATAAAGTCTAAACTATGAGTGACCGCTCCCCACCTCCCACACAAACAGCTTCCCACTTTAGTTCTCTGCAGGCCTTGGGGTCATCCCTAGGCCACGCTGTCTCTCTGATCTCTAAATCTGGAGAACTTGCAACTTGCAGGGAGTCAGGGGCTGGGGGAACTTGAGGCTCCATTGTCCCCAAATCCCCAAATCCGGGCAGCTGAGGCCTCTCAGACCACTTAGAAAGGGAGAGGCATCACTCGACATTCCTGAGCTGCCATTGGGCCACTGCCAGGGTGTGTGGGTGTAGGAGGGGGAGGGAAGCCAGCCAACTGGAGTATTTTATTTTTTGAGGGGGGGTAAACCTGAGGTTTGAGGAGAGTCCCCTTGAACGCCTTGAATGCAGACCCTTGCCTCTGTCCCAGTTGGGTCCTTTACTGTTGGGAGCTTCCACCCAGGCCTCCTATTGGATGCCTTGAAATTGCCACCCCCTACAGAGCCACCAGCTACTGTCCTGGAGCCAAAGGATGTTTGTGCAGTGCCAGGGAGGCTCAGCAAGCAATGGCTGTAAGAGAAAACTCTGGAGCCACCAAGAAAGAGCAGTCCCAGAGCTCAGGCAAAAGAGACTCGAGTCAGAGCTCTGGGGTTTGGCTTGAGTTTCCAATCACATCATGAGCTTGGTTATTAGTTCGGGGTACAACTCTTCTGAGAAAGGAGGAACGGGGGCCACGGGCACCACAAAATTGTGTAAAGGCTGTTTGAAACCATTAGGCCAGAAACCACAAGCCTATCAGCCACTATGGTAGAACACAGCTCCTTAGGACACCCCTTGGTAAGAACAGGAAGCACAGAAGTGGGGAATGAAAGTAAAAAGACCCCAGATTACAATCAGGGGTGCAGATTAAAGCACACACCTCACATCTCTTAGAATGGTTACTGCCAAAACCAATAAATTTGGTCAGGAGGCAGAAAAGTTGGAGGCCTGGGGCATTGTTGGTAGAACTTTAAAATGGTGCAGCCACCATGGAAAAATATGGAGGGTCCTCTAAAAAAAATAGAACTACCATATAAGCCAACAAACTTACTTCTGGTTGTTTATTCAAAAAGGCTCTAAGTAGGGTCTCCAAGAGATGGTTGCATACACATAAACAGGTACCAGGAGGCCGTGTCTATCTCCACTGAAAGGACAAACAACGGCAGGGTGTTACACACACACAACAGAACATTGCTGAGCCTTAACAAGGAAGTCCTTCCATCTTACCACATGGTGGATATTGAGAGTATTACATGAAACAAACCAGTTACAAGAAGATGAATATGCTATAATTCCACTTATGACAAGTCTCTAGAGGAGTCAGACTCACAGAGGCCGGAGGTGAAATGCTGGTCTCCACAGTCTAGAGGGCAGGTGAAAGAGGGAATTGTCTAATGGGCACAGCATTTGTTCTGCAAGATGCAAAAGGTATATTGGTTGGTTTCATGGCAGTGTGAATACACCTAACACAGCTATAATTCTACACTTAAAAATGGATAAGATCGCATGTTTTAAAACAGTGAGTATGACAGAGATTGCTCAGTGGGTAAAGCACTTCCTGTGCAAGTCCAATGACCTGAGTCCAGAGCCGCAGAACTTGTATAAAGTTCGATCCCTGTGTTCATAATGGGAAGGTGGGAGGCAGAGGCAGGAGAATTCCCAGAAGCTAGCCTGGCCTATACAGCAATGGACAATAAAAGACTCTGCCTCCAACAAGGGGAGGATGAAAATGAACACAACACCAGAGGTTGTCTTCTGATAAGGGCACCATGGTCCATGTGCACACACACCACTTCAGAAGAGTCAAAATCATAATCCCAACTCATAAATGAGAAAAGCAACATGCTCCAAGGTCACAGCCCTGGCAGTGTTCAAATCAGGGCAGGTTTGGCAGATGGTAAAGTGAGATATCTCTGGGTGTGGCCCCAGGTAAATGTGCTTAGTCAGGTTCAATGCCTTCATGCCTAGAGGCCAGACTCAGGGCTAGCCCAGGAGGGCTCAAATGTCTCCTATGTGCCAAGCATTCAGAAGCCCAAGAGGGTTATCTAGAAAACTTAGGAACAACTCTATAGTTGATGGCAGTTAACCTCTCTAATCAGCTCCAAGAGTCAGAGCCCAAGTTACTTTACAGATCCGGTAACACAGTCAACCCTAACAGGGTATCGTACAGGAAACAAACCTAGGTTCAAATGCCAGCCCTGTCTCAGTCTGCTTCTCTCCTTTCGCTGTGTGTGGTGCTGAGGGTCAAACCCCAGGCCTTGAGCTGTCTACCTCTGTTACACCCCAGCCTTCTGCACCAATTACAGAGGCAAAGAACTTAAGCACACTTGGGGTGTTAGTTTATAAAATTAAAGCACAGCACTAAGAAGTGGGGTAATACTGTGGGTCCCAGAGACTTAGGACCTCTTTGTGTGCGGTTCTTTGTTTTTTGTTTTGTCTTCTGGAACAGGGGACTGACCTAGAGCCTGTGCTTGCAAGGTAAGCCTCTACCCTGAGCTAAATAAGCCCCACCCTCAGGACCTCTTTGTGTTCTCCGGTGCCTCTATCCACTTATATGAAGGAGAACAGCATGTTTTAACGTTGCTAAGAGGCCGAAATAATGGGTTCAGAGAGGGCTGGGAGCTATGACTAGTGCTAAGCTATTAATTGCTGTTACCAGGGTGTGTCTGTGTTGATGGCCCCACCTGTGGTCTGATCATGGTCAATGCTTTGTAACAGCAAGCATGTAAGTCAGGGGAGGAAGGTCCTCCACGGACCTCTGGAGTGCCTCCCGGTGTCTCTTTGGTCCTGCATATGGCTGAGCCAAGAACACAGAAGTTAGGGACTGATTAAGTCCGGGGCCCAGGTTTTATCCTCCCGTCCTCAGGTGAGCAAGGGTTGATATAGTTAGAGGATGCAGTGGGGAATCCCATCCGGCACACCAAGTCCTTCCCTGGCATTCTCCTTCGTCTTCACTCTCCTCCATCCAGTGACCTGCATGTGTTGCTGGTGTGTTTATTATTGCCAGTGTCCAGCACAGAGACCGCCCCTGTAGTGGTTAAATGAATGGGTAGGTGTGACAGGGCTCTGGTCAGTGACCAGGTGTCTGTGGGGGCTGGGAAGACTGAAAAGGATTGGACCCATAATGGAGCAGGGAGGGGTCGTGAGGACACAGAGCTGCAGTGGAGGCAGAAGAGCCCTGGGGACAAGTGAAGGCAGAGGACCTCGACGGAGACCTGGCCAGCCCCCAGATGACCGACCATCTGAGTTGCATCTGGGCCTCAGGCCCAGAGAAGTTCCTGTGGGCTACTGACAACCTCTGACCTAACCCAGAATCTGCTGCACTCTCCTTTCAAGAAAGCACAAAGGCCCAAGGTGGGGCAGAGGCGGGAACCCCAGGACATCTCCTCGGTCCTACTTTGAGGGGTTACCCCCTTTTCAGCGTGTGCCTGCCATGCCTCGCTAAGAACCCATCTAAGACTGCACTTCTCTAGTGCCCATCTGACCTATGGCAGGTAGCACCAATCAGTCTTGCACTATCCTGCCAAGCCCTGGGAAGCCTAGATGCTTCGACTCCAGGCTTCTCATAGGCTGGGGATCATCTCTGAGGGCTAGGGAATTCACAGGTCAGAACTGAACACACAGAGTGGCAAAACTCATTCCAACACCCCACAGCACATGGAATACTAAGGACAACTCCAGCAGCCTTCCCAACAGCTTGTAAGTGGTGGCAGCAGTGGGGGTGGCTTCAGGGTTTGGGTTTAATCCCAAGCACGAGGTCAGTCCGAAAAGGATTTGATTTCATTCCTTCAGATGCCCAAGCTCTGGCCAGAGCCCCAGGGTGCAAGAGTGAAGGCCACTGCTGCCTAGCCCCTACCAACAAAGCCTTCCTTTATTAAATAGAGATCGTGTTACATTCCACTTGAAGGAAATAGGGGTGTGGTGAGGGATATGTCCAGGTTGGATCCCCCAAGCCCAGCTCCCGGTGGGCTATGATGGATAAGGCAGGGTCCAGGTCCTGGGTCGCCTGCCCACTCCATGCAGTCCCACATACAGGGCCCCTGTAGTCTGGATGGCTGCCCACACTACATCCTGAGGTTCCCCTGGTGGCACATTTTGGGAAGGAAGAGCCCAGACCCCTGGCAATTTTAGGACCAGGGCCTCCTGGAGATGGGGTTGAAGTAGGGGGGGAGGGGACAGAGAAGCCTCTATGCAGAGGAATGGGGGTGTCAAGGACTCATTTTCAGAGCATTTTGTGGCAGTTGTCCCTCCACCATGCTCAGATTGGAGACACTTGCCCTACTGCTGGGGCAATCTGAGGCCACTTGGGAACAGGGTGAGAGATGGCCACAAGGGGGTGCTGGTGACCCAGGGCTTAGAGGCTGTGGCGGAGCACACTCTGGAGATCCAGCCACCTTAGAACAGTCCCTTTCTGAAGACGTGGCAGCAGGGAATTGTGGAGGGTACTGGCTGATCAAGGGTCCACTCTCTAGGACTGAGCCTCTCCCCAGTATGGTTCCGAGCTCCTTGGTCTTTGGCTCTTTCTTGAGATTCTCTTGGTGGCTACAGAGCCCAGTGGGCAAGAGGGTCATCTCATGAAGTCCAGGGCAGGCTGTCCTTCTGTCTGTCCCAGGAGGAATGGGCGGGACTGGCTTAGTGCCATCTCTACAGCCTGGCTGTTTATTTGTCCTTTCAGCTTCTGGCTCAAGCTGGCTCCGGGATTTCTTGTCTGTCTGTCCCAAGGCAGCTGCTTGCTCTAGCTCAGAGCCTACTTCAGGCCTGGGGCCATGCCCTAGGCCTCCTGTGGGAAGAAGCCAAGCTTGGCTAGTGACATCCCCTTCCGAAGCCTCATAATCTCCCAGAACATCGGTTCAGCTGCAGACAGAGAGGATAGTTCACGGTCACTTCAGGCAACTGTCCTGGCCTTCTCTGGCTTTGGGAAGGGCAGTGGGCGAGCACCCCCTCTGCCTAATCAGACATGTGCGTACTCTGCCACACAGCTGTTCTCATCATGGGCTTAGAACTACACTTCTCCGGTTGCAAATGGTTTCCCACCGTGGACCAGAACAGTGAGCAGGGCCCAGGGCATCAGTCCCTGTGTCTGGAGAAGGACCCAGGAGGCAGGGACCCATGTTCTGGTAGCCATGAGGAGATAGGGAAGAGTCACAGGAGAGACCCCATGGTAAAGAACCCTGAATGTCAAAGCCAGTGACAGGAATGCTGTCTCTGCTGGCCCTAGGATTTCTAGGCAGTAGAAAAAGCAGCATGACCCAGGTATGTGGAAGGCACTAGATTTGCTGTCCCAGTGAAGCAGAACCCATCACCAACAAGGAACAGGGTTACTCTATTCGTGTACAATGCCCCCTTTTGCTGGCCTTCTACTAGAAGGGACTCTATACTTTTTGCCTCTGCAGCTGCCAGACAGGTAGGTAGTCTTGGAAAGCACTTAATCAGCCCCATTCTGTCCTGTCTCCCTCCGTTGGGCACTATCCCAGAAAAGAACACTAGGGGGCACTCACCATCCTGCCGAACCAAGCCTTGCTGGATGTAGCGAATGTAGGTGAAGAAGTTGCATACTGCAGTGATCTGTAAGCAGAATGGAGGTGGGTATGACTCACTGGATTCCCCATACTCTAAAGCCAAAGGAGACCCTATCCCAGAACAGTAAGTCCTAGGTGCTTCAGAGTCGGGGGGGGGTGCTCTCTGACTCTGCTAGAGCTTCCAAGGTTTAATTACAAGTAGCAAGGCTACCAGGGTTCCTAAGAGTAACTGCTGCAAGTGCCTGTAAGCAAGTGAGACACAGACACTCCCCATGCCCGTTTTACCAGTGATAAAGACTGCTAAAGTGTGGAGTTAGCAAGTGGTCAGGCTACAAAGCAATCAGGCAGCCAGCACCAGAATCCAAACTTAGTCCCCTGTGGATCTGTTCCTTCTGAGCAAGGAGGTCTGGGCCCACCAGACATAAACTAGGTGCCGTATACAATTCCATGAAAGGCAATTAGAGTCGCTGTCCTAGGCTGCCTTGTTCCCAGGCTGCTTGAGGAGGACCCCACTATGGCCTGTTCCCTGTCAGGCTCTTGTGACCCTTCACTGGCACAGCTCCAAAGACTCTCACAGAGAGGAGGGGCCTCTGTTGTTATCCTGACCAGAGGCCTTCCCCAGGTCTGGCCCAATCTCACTGCCTCTGAGGGCTTAGGCAACGTTGAGCCCATGGTACCTTCCTTTGTGGAGGGTACACCAGACCAGCTCTTTGGCTAGGATGGAGGGAAACCTGTTCTCAGGACTCCCTCTGGATCTAGCCAATGCTCAGCCCTATCTTGGTTTGCCTCCTTTCCCGGCTTCACCCTCCTTCCCTCACTCCATCGAGAAGTTCCAAAAATGCCCACGCAGGCTATGCATTTTGAGAACCAGCCTAGAAGGGTGGTAGCAGGCAGCTGGGCCCACAAGAGCCCCTACCCAGGATTCTGGGACAGGGAAGCCCTACATCTGAAGTACCGAGAGACTGGCGGGTGAGGCGGACTGGGGGGGTGCTCTTGCTGGGCTGCCAAACGCATAGAGCTTGCCAGGAAGCAAGAGAGGGTATAGGGCTGGAGTTGGGGGGAGGCTGCAAAGGCAAGGTGGTATGAAAAAGCAGAGGAGCATCAGCCAGGTGTGACTGAGCTAGGAAGGGGAAACAAGTCTGGGGGAGGGGAGGCGGCACAACACCGATGCCGCGTGAGTACCTGGCAGCAGGCAGCCATCAGGGCTCCTGAGCGTGGGGTGGCAGAGTGGTAGAGTTTCTCCCCAGGGCTGCGTTCTTTGTTAACCCCTCATGCCTCAGTCTGTCTGAGCAAGGATCACATAGACCCTCCTCAGCTCCGGTCTCTTCTGCTACACAGCCGTGCCCAGCAGAACCACATACCAAAGTCATAATAAAAGAAAGTGGCGCACGCCTTTAATCCCAGCACTCGGGAGGCAGAGGCAGGCGGATCTCTGTGAGTTCGAGGCCAGCCTGGTCTACAGAGTGAGTTCCAGGACAGCCTCCAAAGCTACAGAGAAACCCTGTCTTGAAAAAAAACAAAAAACAAAAAAACAAAAACAAAAACAAAAAAAAAAGTGCTACATATAGTTAAGCAAGACACAAGGATGGCCCTTCCTGTGGGTTGGGCTAGGAAGGGATAAAGGGACTTGAGGTCACAGAACAAGGCTCTGGGCACTCAGTGGAGGAGCTGCAGACAGTTTAGTCCGAAGACTCCATGTCTGTGCTGTGTGGCCCTGGAATACACCTCAGCCCCATTTGTAAAGGTCATGTGGTAGAAGCTGGGGGTATCCCTGGCCCACAAGGACCATCAGGGACACATGGAACTGAATCCTACCAACAGCTGCAGGAGCTTGGGAAGGACCCTGAGCCCAGTTAAGAACCCACTTAGCTGAGCTCTGACTGCAGCTGGTAGGTCCCTGAGCTGAGGGATGCCTGGTGCATCAGTGCCCAGTCTCCTGGCCCAGGAGAAAGGTGAGAGAATATGAGTATATAACCACAGATATGGTGGCTCATTCACCTAATCCCAGCGCTCAGGAGGAAAAGGCAGGCAGATCTCTCTAAATTCAAGTTCAAGCCCAGGCAAGTTCTAGAACAGTCAGGACTACAGAGAAAGTCCCTGTCTCAAAACAAACAAAAAGAGAGTATATTACCTTTTGGATAGGATTTAGCCAGTTGGTAGAGTGCTTGCCTACCGTGCACAAAGCCCTGGGTTCACTCTCCAGCATGGTAAAAACCAGGCATGGTGGAGCACACCTGTAATCCTATCGATTTGAAAGTGGAGGCAGGAGCATCAAGTTACCCTTAGTTGCATAGCAATTGGGTTGTGGGAGACTGGCTGAAAGACCTAGCATATCATCTTAAGCCCCTATATTTATGGTCATTTGTCACAGAGCAATAGAAAAACAAGACATTGACCTGGCTACGGTCAGAGTCAAGTCTCTGCACCTCTGAGAGTTGTTCAGGCTGTGCTTCGAAGCCAGAGGTCCAGAGTTCTAGCCCTTGTGGTCCCAAAGAAGCCAAGTGACACTTGTGAAGGATGACTCACCCTGGCCCGGGACGACGGTGAGATGTAATAATGACTCTCAGAGTCCCCGAGGCGGATTCGGTGGTGACAGGCACGGGCTAATCCACTCAGGGCACACATGCTGGGGAGAAGAGAGGACGTGAAGGCACTGAGTGAAGCTCACAGAGGCAGGGGACATGTGCTAGCTAGAAGACGCATGGAGAGTTAGCCAGGAAGCAGGTGAGAAGCAGGGCCTGACTTCCCCTTCCCTCCCTTCCCTCCTGGCTTCCAAAGGACCCCAGGGCCAAACAAATTAAGTGGTATGGAGCAAGAGTCCTCAGGAAAGACCTTAAATGCAGCTGAATCCATGTCCACTCCCCACGCCCCTCCCACCCCCACCTCTGTTCCTTCCCCCCCACAAGCAGAGGAGCTCGGTCAATCTCATGTCAGCAAATACACCGAAGCCTCACCCTCTGCAGGCTCTAAACTGCCCCCCCCCCATCATTAGGAACCTCTTCCCATGAATTCTGGTCTGACTGCCTCCCACTTCCCACACCAGGCTTTTTCATCTACCCTGTGCCGTCCGTCCCCCATTCACCAGGCCTCACTAATAACCCCCTCCCACGCCACCTCTCTCCTAGCCACACCTGGGAAACCCACTTAGCACCTTCGGCTACCCACATATGAGGTTTCCATGGTCCCATCGTCCAGCCTCCCACTCCCAAATCTCGCTCCTCCACTGGTCCCTGCCTCCACAATGGAGTCTACAGCATCACCCACTGGCCCCCTCCCCCACCCTGAACCCGGCTGCCATGTCCTCTGCCTACACCATTCCTTTTGCTTGGATTCCCTCAGCTCCTTCGACCCACTCTCTACTCTCCTTACCCTTTTCTTCTCTGCGTTACAGCCAAGAATGTCTACAAAAGTCACGTCTAACTCAGCGTCTTTCCCGTGACTTCCCTATTGCCCAGGAAATACAGAATCCGAAGTAAAGAGCAGTTGATAGTGTTTGTTGCCTCTTCCTTCACTGTGAGGCTGGCTGAGCCTTCACTAAAAGTTCACCAGAGAACTTCCTTTCAGGGTAACACACACTGATGACCCTTAGTGAGTTGGTGTCCTAACTGGCTGGGGGTCTTTAAACTCTGGCCTAAACAACCCCCTGAGACTCAGCCCGAGCCCCCTGCTCCATGGCTCTGAGGTATTTACACTCCGACTTACCTGGCCTTCATCCCATTCCCTCTACCTATAAAGCTAGCTCAGATGTTCCCTCTGTGAGCCAGGCTTCCATTGCGGGCCCAGCCCCACCAGGACAGCTCTGGAATGCCCAGGGGAAACCTGCCTGATCCTCAGTCCACCTTGACGGCTACCCCTGCTCAGTGCTGGCTGAGCAGCGTGCAGGTAAGCTGCCAGAGCAGTGAGTAACGGATTGGCAGAAGACAGAGCCAGCCGCCAGCAATCACTTCTATGCCAACCAGAGCCCAGGATCTCTGTGGGATAGAAGAGGAGGAGAGGAAGTACAGATGGTGCCAGCCAGAAGGGACACCACAGCTGGCAGCAGGAATTCCTGTCAGAGATACTTCCTGGTCCTCAGTAAGGACATTGATGACTGTGTCTCTCTTGTGGCTTATTGTTTTCACTTTTTAAAAGCAGAGTTTTGTGTAGCCCAGGCTTGCCTTGAACTTTGACCTCTGATCTTCCTACCTCTACCTCCCAAGTGCTGGGATCACAGATGTATGTTACCATGCTTGGTTTTGCAAGGTGCTGGGGATGGATTCCATGGCTTTGTACATGCTAGTCAAGGACTTACTAAGCTATATCCCCAACCCCATGTCCATCTCACGGGAGTCCCTAGGCTCATAAACTATAGAAGACAGTCACCCTGAATGTTACTGTCCCTACTCACTCTGAGGCCATATATCCCATCTATATCCCAAGAGACCCAAGGCCCAGGCTCCTATCCTAGTTCCCTTGAGGCCTGCCTGAGGCTCCATTTTGGACCTTCCCACACGGGCAGGAACGTGCCCAGGGTACTAAGCTTACTTGGCGTTGTTACATTCAACAGTGGGCACCTTCACAGTGGGAGGATTCTGGGAAGCCACGGGCTCAATGGTGAGTGTGTTATCCTCCACGGCAGCCCGCACCAGAGATGAGAGCTGTAGCAGACCAGGGTAGAGTAGTGAGAAGCTGGGTGACTGGGTCCCCAGCCAGCCACCCTCGACCCCCTCAGCCCACCTCACCTCCTGCACTGTGAAGTCCAGGCAGGGACCCACATCCTCCCGGTACACCCTTTCTAGGAAGGGGCAGTCCTTATCCAGGGTAGGCGATGCCCTCCAAGCCTGGAACTCTGAAAACAGGGTCGTATCCACCTGCATGGGGCGGGGAGCCAAGTGGGGGCAGTCAGGGATAAGGGTGAGCCCCTCAGAGGAGGCAAAGCTGATGGAGAGGAGAGCAGGGAAATGAAGGAGGGCTCAGTGGACCATCAGGCCTGTCCTCAGCAGCCATGCAGGGGGCAGAGTCCAGGAGAAGAGGAGGTCCTGTCTGCCCTTTGCACCAAAGAATTTAGAACAACACATGTCTGGGTGTACATTAAGTTTCTTGGCACTGAAAAACTACAGACTTGGATCCAGGGCCTTGGCCTGAATGGAAAAACATACCAAGAGCAAGCCTGAAAGAACCTGTGGGTCCCTACAGGAACCCACCGGTCTCGTACGTCTCGAGTGCACATACAAGTGCATGCACACAGGAGAGAACATCTCACATCCCGCTGCCTACTGGAGGAGGCAATGATGGCCTGCCCTGGGCTGCATGCACAATGAGTGAAGCCCAGAGGGGAGAGGAGGAGTGGCCCCTAGATGAGCCATTACCTGTTGGGAAAAGGAGAGAGAGGTAGCAGAGTTGGGGGCCATGGGCGGCTCCCCAGGTGGGAGCTGCCAGGTCGGCTCGTAGGTGAGGTGGATGGCCTTGCTGGGGATCACGCACAGGAGCAGGGAGAGTAGAGGGGGCAGGCCAGGCTGGGCCAGGGGATGGGTGGACAGATGGACAGACAGACAGACAGACAGACAGACAGAGACAGACAGGAGGAAGGAGGAGATGTCAGTGTCCAGTGGGAAGCTCAGTACTCACAAAGGGACCGAGAGGGCTTTGCTTGCCCCTCCTAAAAGCTCGGGAAGCAGATGAAGAGAGTTCTGAGCTAGGACAGGCCTGAGCAACAGCCCATGTCTCCCCAGTGTTCACCGGATACTGCCTAAACTGCCTTTTTCACGTCCCCACAGCTCCTCCCCCGGAGGAGGGGGTGCATGTGGCGTGTGAAGTAGTGGAAGTGCTAACAGCCACCCACGGCATGTCGGTCCAGGCTGGACCAAGCCTCCCTCCCCCTTTTCCTTGCTGAGGCAGGAGAGAGATGCTTTTCTAAGGTCATGCTTGCTTCAGCACCACAGTCAGCGGTGCTAAGGACCCTAGAGTACGTAAGTACAGGGTGGTCCTAGACCTCAAGACTGTAGCCACAAAACACCAGGTAGCCCCTCTCCAGTGTCCAGTGGCACCTGTCTGTCACTCTTAGCATAGGAAGTGTATCTCCGAAGAGGTTTCCTGAGAGAGGACCTTCAGGATGGAGGATAGCTCAAGTTCAGAGATACCACCTTCTGCTTGGAGTCAGAGGAGCCTGCCCAGTGTCATAGTTCAAGGGACCCTGAAGCCCAGAGAGGGGAGAGACAGGAGGTAGGTTCCACAGGAGAGGGCAGGCTGGCTCTTCCGGGATGCTCACTTGGCTGCTTAAACAGAATTACCCCTCCCAGTTGTGAGCCCACTATAACCTGTGCCTCACCTCCTTGCCTTCTTTGTCTGGGGTGGGAATGTGCCCTGCTGTGGGACACACAACTGGGCACAGGGAACTGCTGGTACTCTTATGGCGTGAGTGGCCCTTTCGGGGTCCGGCCTTGGTGGGGCTCAGCAGCTGTGGGTGGAGCTCACGGTTGGGAGAGGCTGGTGTGGACGTGATGACCAGTGTCTTCAAGGCTGTCACCTCTGCCTGCAGCATGTCAATCTGACCCAGACAAGATGACCATCAACCCCAACACGGGGTCAATGTCACCATGGCTACCATGGCCTGTCAACCAAGCAGCCCCAGCAGTAACTAACCCCTCCCATCACCCTTTGAACAACCTCTAAGACATCTATTCGATAGACAGGGAAACCAAGGCTGAGAGGAGGCATGGCCTCCTGCCTCAGGTCACATCAGAGACTCTGCTGGAGGAGTTCCCTGGGAACTTGTTGGATCTCCTACTTAGTATTCAGGGATCTCCAGAAGCCAAGAACAGTCCAAGCTTCACATTTACTGATTGACAAGTGCTTTGAGAAAGGAAGCTGCTTGCCTGTGCTACAACCACAACTGTATTTCTGTAATAAATAACCACTGGGTCCTCCTGGGCTCCAAAGGGCCCCAAAAAGTCTCCATGACACTGATGGAGTTGGAGGGCCCTACACTACTTAGTTTCAGACCCACCCAGCCTGTCCCAGACCTGGGTTCTCTTGTTCCTGATGCCTGTGAGGGTCCGTGAGGGCCCTGTTGCAGGCCCTTGCTAGCTGAGGACAGTACACGCCATCAAGGACTGTGACGGAAGACTTGGGCTGGCCTAGGCACACAGGGATGGATCTCACCTTGCCCCAAGCCTCCTTCAACTGCTTTTCTGATGCAGCCTGCTTCATGTTGGCTTCCCGAACCATCTTGTGAGCTTCCTAGAAGAGGGGACACCTCTGTATGAATGGTCACAAGACACCGGACTCCCGGACCACCCGTCCCCAGGCTGCCCAGCAAACCTGGAACAGGCTGGCCGTCAGTTCCTCCAGCTCCTGCTCCAGCTGGGCGCGCACCTTGCAAAGCCGTTCGCACTCCTCGTCCTTCAGCTTCAGCTCCTGGGTGCAGGCAGGAGGCCGTCAGCCTGCCCTTAGCCAGGCTCCACCACCCCAGCCTGGTGTGAAGCTTTAGGCCACCAGCTCGCTTCACAGGAATCTGACAATCTGTGGTGCTCTAGCCCAGGCACAAGATTAAAACCCTATAGCCTGGCAGCCCAGCAGAGCTGGAAGCAGATTTCCGAATGCGTCAAGACGCGTGAAAACATTTAAGACTTCTGAGACTTCAGTGGTAGGATGCACGCTTAGCATGGGCCTGGCACGTAGCCTAGGCAAGTGATGACCCCTCTCCCTTCCACAGCTATCTGGGCTCACTCAGTCTGGGTGCTTTTCCTCATCCCTCCACCCTGCACCCTGGAGCACCCACCTTCTGGGCTTTGTATAGCTCCTCCTTCAGGAACTCTGAGCCCTTCTCTCGGATCTCCATTGAGGAGCTGCGCAGGCGTGACACGTCCAGTGGAGCTGCTGCTGAGTGTTCTTCACCCTGGGCCTCCTTCCGGGAAGCAGAGGTTTCCACCAGGCTTCCTGGGGACTCTCTGTGACCTTTGCTGGGGCCAAGGCTTTTCCAGGGGACTGAGGCAGCTGCGAGGCCAGTGGGGAGGCCCTCATCTGGTTGCGGTGGGCTGTAAGGCAAGCAGAGGCATCAGCACGCACAGGGTGGGGACTCAAGACCTGCAGCTGAGCCCAGGGACCGAGCCGAGGCCACATATATACCTGTCACTTGAGCCTCAGTCTGTCCATCTGTAAAACAGAGCCACTACAAGTGTAACCAGAATGTCACAAGGGCAGAATGACCAAGCACAAACTCTCTTTAGGGGCCAAGGCAGGACACATGCACCTTTGTCATCTGCCATCCCCAACCTAGGGATGTAGCAGGTGGCCAGCACTAAGTCCAAACTCAATTCCCATCTGTTGAGCAGTCAGATGAATATAAATGTATCGATGCTTAGGATGAATCTCTACTCTGACACCACAGGTAGGGACTGTTCCAATGGTTGTCATTCCCAAGAGTTGAAGGGGATGGGCAGAAAACCTGGATGTGGAAGAGCCAGTTAAGTGGGAGCCTTCATCAACATAGTTAAAGCAAATTGAACTTTATCGATGACATGGCATCGTTAATGGAAATGTCACTATGATAGACGTTCACAAAGGCAGACCAGAGAGGAAGCACCAGGCCTTGGCAGGCAGGAAGATTCTACAAATAGCCCAGGCATAACAGACCCACTTCCTGCCACCCCTGGATTTTGTGAGGAGCAAACTCCAGCTCCCTTGGACCTTCTGTGTGACTTCAAACAAGCAACCCCTCCTCTAGAAGCCTCAAAACCCTCCACTTACTGAAGCTGAAGACCTAGAAACCATGGGGCTCTGCCCTTAGCCAGCCCCCACCTCCAAGCTATAGTACCCCTAGAAAGCAGATCCTGCAGAGGGAAGAGAGGAAGGTCTGGCCAGCGGCCTTTGTGCCGAGACAGCACCTCTAGATTTGCTTGCTCAGCAAAATCTGGGGCTCCTGAGCCAGCAGCCTCAGAGCAGCAGTGGCTTGGCAGGTTTTTTGGGGGGGGGCTGGGCTGATTGATAACAGTGGGAAGTGAGGGGGAGGGGCTCGGTCAAGCCTGCAATGGAAAGACACAAAGCCAATGACACTAGGGCTTAGAATAATTGAAAGGAAATGCTGGCGACTATCCCTCTCTCCCGTCCTCAAGCTCCTCAGAAGTTCACCAAACAACCCCTGAGCCTCAGTTTCCCTCTGAGTAACACAAAGAAAGTGAGATCTGAGAGACCATAGCAGTGGGTCCCCTGCTCTGCTCAGCCTTCTCCCTGCCCTGGAATGGGCCCAACATGTGGCCTTGAGGCTCCTGGAATTGGACCCTGCTTGGCAGGGATGCGGCCTCAGTGAATATAAGGACAGCGAGCCACCATTCCACCTGTGTGTGGGGCAGACCTGAGGTCAGGGGGTGGGTCTTGTTCACACAGGGTGCTTGAGGCCTGAGCCCCCTAACAGTTCTGTGGCAGCTGTGGATGAGAACTCTGCCCAGGGACTGAGAGTTTTGTCTGTGTGTCAGTGATGGCACATGCATGTGTGTGAATGGATGTGTAGGACAGGTCACCTCGGATGTTGCCCCTCTGGAGGTATCACGAGGTCTCTTAGTGAGATCTGGGGTTTGCTGATTGCTTAGGTTGGACAGGGCCTCTGTTTGCCCGAAACTATGATTCTAAGAGTGTGCCACCAGGCCTGACTCAAACTCAGGTCCTCATGCTTGCACAGTAAACACTTTACCAATTAAGCCAACTCCCCATCCCCAGTGTGTATGTGTGTGTGGGGTGTCTGTGTGTGCATATGGTGTGTGTGTCTGTGTAATGTTTATATTCATGCCTCTGCCTACGTATGTCATGTGCACTGGTACTCACAGGGGCCAGAGGAAAGCATCAGATCACCTGGAGCTCAGTAACAAGCAGCTGTGAGATGCCTGATGTGGGTGCTGGGAGCTTGGGTCCTCAAGTAGAAAGTAAGTACTCTTAGCCACTGAACTCTCACTCTAATCCCACACATTGTTTTAAGTACACTTTACACAGTAATTGTAGTCTTTTCCCATTCCTACAGATAGGAATATGAGCTCAGAGAAATGAGGGGGACTTTTATGGGGGCCTCCAGCAGGTGAGTGGCAGTGTGGAGACAGGAAACCAGGTCTTCAGCCACTGTCCCCAGCTTCTGGCCAAGTAGCCTGGTATGGAGTAAGTATTGCAGTCATCACATCTGCTTCATGATCAAGGGCTTCTGGGCCCAGGGAAACACATTAGGCTTTTTATGAGTTACAGCAGGGAAGCCTTGCCCAGCCCCAGCTCAAACTAGCTTATTAGACCCTTGCTCCAGCCCAGAAAACATCCTGACTAGAGTGATGGCCTAGGGAGAGAATGAAGGGGACTGTGGTTAAGATCACAGTCAGGCTTTGCCCTGGGAATGTCTGAAGTTCCTGGAATCCACTTTTCCTATAGATGGGCAGAGAAAGCATCGAGAGGGATGCTTCCAGAATCAAATAAGAAGTCACTTGTTACAGTGCTACAGGTGACTAGGGATCAACCTTCACTTGGCAGAGATGCCTGAAATTCTTGGCCTGACTCTGGGTCCTGCAACTGAACCTGTAGCCACTCTATCCCATGGGAGTAGAAAGGTGTCTCCTGGAGCCCTGGGGCCCAACCCCACCTTCTTGAGTGACAAATGATAGTCACAGTCATTCCAGATAGTCATACCCAGCTTCATTCAGCAGTGTGGCCTGGGCCACCCTCAGGTAGGGTCTGGGGTGGGGGTGGGGGTCAGTGAAGAGATCCCACCATTCTGCCAGCTGTCTCTGACTTCAGCTCACTTCCAGGGGGGTGGGACCCTATTTCATAGCTAGTAGACAATCTAGGAGGCCCGCGGCAGGGTCTCTGTGACGTCCTTCCTACTAGCAGGAAAGGCCAATGCTCAAATGGGCAGGAGGGAAGAAGGTGCAGGGCATGTGTGGTGAACTCTCCAGTCTGCAGACCTCCTCCCTTCTCGCTTCTCAGCTGCAAGGCTAGCTCTGGTGATTCACGAAGTTCAGAGGAAGAAGGAAAGGGTTCCACAGTCAAACTGAGCCAGGCTCTGGGACTGCCCACACATTTCAACCATCATGTCATCCCTCAGGTCTCCAGCAGGCCAGACCCACCATCCCTGACCTCCTCAGTCCAGGCTCTGTGGGAATACAGCCTTCTCCATCCAGGCTCTGTGGGAATACAGCCTTCTGTGAGGCATACTATGGGATGGGAATGAATCTTCTAGGGATGACAGATACTAAGAGTCAAGGTCAGAGTTGGATATGGGGGTACAAGTAGATCTCTGTGAGTCTGAGGCCAGCCTGATTTACAGAGTGAGTTCCAGGACAGCCAGGGTTGTTACACAGAAAACCCTGCCAAAAACAAACAAACAAACAAAACAAAAAACAAAAAAAACACACAAAACAAAAGAGTCAAGGTCAAAGGTAGATGGGGTGGTCAGTACCTCCATCCTGAAGCTGGCTTAGAAGCCCAGGGCCCCAACATACAGGAAGTGCTCTCCGGGTCACTTCCCCAGGAAATATAATGCAGCGGCTACCACCCTCAGTCCACCAGGCCTGTCTTCTACAGGCAGCAGGGATTTTTGTCCCTGTCCTCAAAGCATGACAGAACTCTGTAGCCTGTTAGTCACTCAGACATTAAAAAATCTCTCTTGGGTCAGGAGCTCCTGACCAGAGCTAAATAGGATTCCTTGAAGTCATTTGAGCTTCTATCTCTCCCAGCCTGGACAAAGCAGCCTGCTCCATGCTCTTCAGTGGCTCTTTCTCCAGTTAAGAATCCCTTCTCTCTTCCAGGCCACAATGGTTTCACTAAATAAACAGCAGAGGGGGCCCTGAGCGCAACTCTGGAACCAGAGAGGGACAGGACTGGGAGCATACAACCCATGCCCAGAGAAGGACAGGACTGGGAGCATATAACCCATGCCCAGAGAAGCTTCAGAAATCTTGTCTGGAATCAACTCTTGGGGGGGGGGGTAGTGCCATGGTACTGAGGCAGGATTCAGACTCATTCAGGAGACTAAGAATGACAGACATATAACATTCACATAGCAGTAAGGTGCCAGAAAAGGTTTTGTGGCTCTCTGTAAGCCCTGCAAACAGTCTAAGTCTCTTCAGGCCCAAACTAACAAGTACATGGGGTTTCCAGGTTCCTGGTTTAGGTTCAAGTCAGCCCACCGCTTCAATCACCATGGGTGTCAGGACAGCACTGTAGTGAGAGAGACTCCACAGTCTAATCTTCATGATAAAGTAACCAAGCATGAGACCAGGTTGGTGGCCTAGCTTGGAATACATAGCAAGGAGGTAGTAGGATGGGGACTGAACCCAAACTGCAGGCACAGCACAAACAGCGTGTGACTTGCCCCTCACCAGCAGGAATGAATGGCGGTTTCGGAGAAATGAGGCAGGATGCACATGGGGTTTGAGGAAGTTGGAGACAGTGCCCAAGTAAGGGTGGAGTGGTGAAGCGTGACGCCTAGGGCTGCCTTGCCTGCCACTAGGAATGGGCCGGGAGGGGACACACAGACAAAGCATTGTAGGGGGTCCATGGGCATGGGCAGGGTGGAGCAGGATTGGGTAGGAGGGCAGGTAAAATATGCAGCACAGTAATTGATTAACTAAGCTAATTTAAAACCAAAGGAAAGCTAAATGAGAATAAGCAGAATGGGAATGAGGAAGTGGAGGGGGTCTTCAGGGAAGCGAAAGGGGGTGGCTCAGGCTTTTGGGAACTACAGGGTGCTGTGGGAGGCTAATGGGAAAAGGCAGGACAGTGGCGGCTGTTAGGAGGCACCAGCAGAGCAGCCAGCACCTAAGCCCGGGCAGCCTGAGAATCAGAGATGCATGTTTCTCTGATGGTAAGATCTGGAGTTGGTTAGAATTCAGCAAGCCAAAGCAAGGAGGCACAAGGGACAGGCAGAGCCAGGGTAGGCCTAGGCCGCTGCTGGGGGAACAAGGCAAATGGAGGGAGGGCTGGAGGGGAGTGGATAGATGGGGAAGGAGAGTGTTCAAGAGCAACAGCAGGCCCCAGTGGAAAGAAGAGATCAAGAGACTAAGTA